GCGTGGCGGCCTCCGGGCACGCCGCGGGCTTTCAGACCCACCTTCCGTCCTCCCCACGCAGCGGCTGCCGACAGCGAGAGGGCCCCCTCTGTCCGCATGGGCTCCCCTAACCGGCTCCCAAAGGCCCACCTCCCCACGTCGGCGCTCTGGGGGTTGAGGCTCCAGTGCAGGAACTCTGGGGACACGCACACCGCCCGTCACGGATGCCACGAGTGCATCAGCTCTGGGGAGGACAGCCCCTTATCTTGCAGACGGGGACGTTAGCGTGCCGTCAGCTGAGTCCCCGGGGACACAGCGCCAGGCGGGGCGAGACGTGCGCCACACTCACGCCGAGAGGGCAGCAGGAGGGGCGGCAGAGGGCTCCATCAGGACGCGTCTGGCCGGGCAGCCGGGGGGCGACAGGCGGAAGCGGGGCACAGCCGAACGTGGGGCCGCCCCCGCCGTGTCTCCTCTCCCAGCGGCACCCGCCTGGGCCCCGGATCCCACCCCTTTCCGCGCCCAAACTAACCTGGCTGGCATGACCCGGATTCTTCTTATTTCGCTGTAACTCTTTGTTTCGTGGATTATTAGTTTTGTAACGCAGCTGCCTGATGACGGGGCGCGACGCCACCGGGGACATCTGGTCCCGGCTGCCCGGGGGGGGGGGGGGGGGGGGCGGCACACTGCGTCTCTTCGGCCCTCTGTCTGTCTGTCTGTCCTCTCCCCCTCACACGCCCGGGGATCTGCGGGGACATCCGCACGCGGCCTCCCCACGGCGTGCTCCTTACATCCTGGCATCCGGGCGTCCAGGGGAGCGTCTGAGAGGCTGGGCCACCTGGAAGCCGAGGACAGCCGCGTCCACCGTGATGGCGTCTGCCCGGGCCCAGGGCCTGGCCACGTGAGGGTCAGAAACACCGGCCTAGCCCTCACGGGAGAGAAACTCTGCCCCTGCCCGCTGCCCCCTTGTCCCTCCCGGCCTCTCGTGAGCGCCCGGTGTGCCTGGCCTAGGATCTCTGCGCTGGTGGTCGCCCCCATGGGGCACTCTCGCTCGGGACAATGTCACCTCTTCGTGTGTTGGCTCGACCAGCACTTTCCCGCGAGGTCTCCCTGACCCCCGCTCTGCTCCCCGCTGGCACCCCTCTTCCGCACGGCTCGCCCGCCCTGCCGGACTGCGCGTGGGCCCTTCCACGGGGCACGGAGGTTAATGGCTCTTTTCCTCCGGAGGAAGTCTTGTCCGCCGTTACACCAAGCTTCTAGAACATGCCCCGCACAGAGGTGGCACTTGGTCTGTGTTGTGTCCCGTTGCTGACTGCACCGTAGAAGGAAATCGTCGCTCCGTTGGAGGAGAAGGGAGGGGGTCTCCCCAAATCACAAAGAAACTCTGTGCCCCGTGGCTTTGCCGTGCAGCCTGGGGTGTCCGGCCACGGCCTGCCACACACGGAGGTGCGGAAGGAGGCTGGGCCCGGGGGTCCCCAGAGGGCCGCGCCGGGGACGCCAATTCAGGGAGCTGGCAGGGGGCAGTGGCTTTGTCGGTCTCAGCTAATGTTTTCGGGCGGTCCCGGCACCCTTCTCCCTTCAAGATTCAGGGCTCCTGCCGCTTCCCAGGCAAATGTGGAGACCCTCAGCCCGGGGCCACTGCACCCTCCAACCACAGGGCGTCCCCTTTAAATGGTGGACACAGCTTTATTCACACTGCAGGAATTCACACCGCAGGGATGACTCTCTAATGGCGGAATCTGGGCCTTCCCGGTGCTGTAGAGACGGGACCCCAGGGCCGCCGCACGGGGACTGGGTGGCGTGAGCGGGGAAGGAGTGCCGGTGACAACATTCACGGCTCAGGACCTTCAGAGACAAACCACAGATGGTCTGGAAAACGCACCTCTTCCAGAGGAGCGTGTGTGGACCAGGGTGCCCCTGGCGGGTGGGGCTGACAGGCAGCAGGGACGGTCTGTGCAGCCCGGGCCGGGCTCCAGAAGGGGCAGTGAGGAGGGAAGGGCTCGATCGCCGCCCCCTCCTTCCAGATGTGACCGGGGCTTCCTCCAGATCAAGTCCTCCTCCCTCCTCGGCACCCCTCCTCGGCTCGGGGAGAACGAGGAACGGAAAATGATACAAAAGGCCCTGATAATTACAGTCGTTACTGCCAGTAACTCCCGTGCTGGGCACCTTGTGGAAGGAGCCGCTCGGCTGCGACCCGCCGGTCACAGACACGAGGGCCCAGCGAGAACGCGACCGTTAGAAGGTCACACGGGGCAGAAGATGGCAGTCGTCCTCGTGGCAAGGTCAGGACACCGAGCGCCGGGCCGGCAGGGGGCTCACGGGAGCCCCGCACAGCCGCGCATCTCCGGCGACACCGGTCGTCTTTGTTCTTCTCCCCGCGGCGTCCTGTGTGTGTGCCAAGTAAAAAAGCGACACGTAACTCGGGCTCCGGTGGCACCTCACGAACGGCTGGGACGCTGGCGACCCGGCGGCGGTGGAGGCACGAGGGCGAGACCCGCCCTCCCCTTGGACACAAGTGAGCATCTGGTCATCTTATACTTGACGTCATGTCTCCTGGCGGAAGAAACACGAACGCGATGCGGTTCACACACACGACCGCAGATTGGGCTCGTGATCCGGGGTCTGTGTTAGGGACGAGTACGTTTAAAACTGGACAAGGGAAAACCGTTCTTCCGAACGTGACACATACAGGGGCGTCTGGGGGGCTTGGTCAGTTGAGCGTCCACCTCCTGATTCCAGATCAGGTCGGGATCTCCCGGTTGGTGAGATCGAGCCCTGCGTCGGGCTCTGCGCTGGCAGCTTGAGGCCTGCTTGGGATCCTCTGTCTCCCTCCGCATCCCCCCACCCCCAAATAAACAAATAAACGTAAAGACTAGAGTGAGGCAATTCCCTAAGTACCCACGAAACGCACTCCGAGGGACGGGCCCCAGACCTGCAGGCAGGGACCCAGCCAGTGTTCCCAGCAGCCAACGGTGGAGGCGGCCCGGATGTCCACCCACCAACGAGCGGTCCACAAACTGCTCTAGCCACACAGCGGAGTGGGTTTTGGCCACCTAGTGAGTGAGGTGTGGAGTCCTGACAAATGCTGTGATGTGCACGCACCGTGAAACCATTCTGCTGAGTTCTTTCGTTCAAGGCCACCTGCTGTACGGGTGCACGGATATGAAGTCCCCAGAAAGCACAGGTCCCCAGAGACAGAGTTCACAGACGTTACCAGGGGCTGGGGCAGGGGCGACCGCTCGACGGGTCCAGGGGTCCCTTCGGGGGTGACGACGTACTCGGAACCAGACAGAGGCGGCAGTTACACAACACCGTGAACGTGCTCGGTGCCACTGAGTTGTCCACTTTAAAAGCTTAATTTCATCTTGTGTGCATGTCTTTAAAGACCGTGGTCTCACACAGGCCCTTTATCTCGGGCTCTGCACCTCCTCCCCAGGTACAGCAGCTTCAGCACAGCCTCTGTGCTCCAACGCGGGACGCGTTTCTCGGGAAACACGTAACGACAGTTGTGCGGACACACCCTCCTTGCGATGTTGTTGGGACACCGCACAGGGAGGTCACAGACCCTCTTTGGAGCAAAGGTGGGGGCATGGAGAGCTGTCCCCAGCTGGGACTCCGACTGCTCAGGTCAGAGAACACCCTTGAGATGGGGGAGCTAAAGTACCCAGATTTTTGCTTAGGTTATGCATGGTTACGAGGAGAGGACTGGACGTTTGCCGGACTTTTCCACGCCACCCGGTCTCAAACGTGGGAAGGGCCGGGACCGGCGGCAAAGGGAGGAGGAGTCTGCCCTACGGGCCCCGGGCACGGCTGGCCCCGCTTTGCGCCACAGCAGACGGTTCTGGGGCACGTGCCGCCCGATCCCGGTCACCGCGAGAGACGAGTGGCTGGCAGGCAAGTGGCCCCGATGCTCCAGGGGCCCGGCCAGCGTGGCGGTGTGAGGGCAAAACGCCTTGCTAGAGGCGAGCCCGGACTACGCTTCCCTTACTACCCAAAATCAACCCAAAAGAAACGAAACTAAGTCAACAGGTATTTGCAGAAACCCCACCTTTTCGGCAGAGACCATCCCTTAATTCGTGGATTCGTATTTTTGTTTCTGGAATATAAAATCCTATTGTTGGGCAGGGGGGTGTGACGGGTTTATAAAAACTCGCTTTGAAATTAATAGCTTCCAGGACATTCTTCAGGGATGCCAGTCCGGTCTGGGGCCCCGTGGGTCTGCTCTCAGGAGGGGCAGATGGCACTCCGGATCCCCTCTGCGTCCAGCGGGCTCGGGGCTCCTGGCCGGTGACGGGCCCCGCGGGTCCCCTCTTGTCCGCGGCCCCCCCACCGCCCGCACTCCCTTCGGAGGGAGCAGGTGCTTGCCAACCCCGCTCGCTAGGTGACCAAGGTTTCTCTAACACTCCACCTCGTCTCAGCAAAACGAACAGGAAATCTTGCATTTCAGGAAGTCCTAAAATCAAAGCAGCATTTGTGACAATTCAGAATCATCATTGCTGGAGAAGTTCTGGGTTTCACGCTGGCTTCGTGAACAACTAGACAGCGTTTGTCTACCTGGGCCGCAGCGGGTCTGGTGGGGAAAGGGGCTGAGTAGCCGGGAGGAGCAAGCAGGGCAACAACAGGTCTGCGGACACACGTCATCTTCCCAAGTGACGGCCGCGTTGCACGCGGACGTGCGTGTGGCCACAGCCTCGCCCAGGTCACCCTTCGGAGCGGAAGCATTTGGCTCGAGTGAAAACTCCCCGTCCCCCCGGCCTGGGTGAGCGGCTCTGAAGCGCGGTGTTTAGAGCATCTGCGGCCGCGGCCACACGGCCGCCTCTTCTGTGTTCCGTGCAGGCCTCTCCTCGGACGTGGAGGAGGGGACCCCACTGCAGGGGCAGCCGGTGCTTTGCGGTCATGCCGGGGCGGCTCTGCCCCACAGCGCTTCGTGCAGATGCCAACGGAACCAGGACGTACCACAGGAAGTCACTGAGAGCCGGGTAGGGTGGTCCGCGCACGTAATGAATCACCGGCAGACTAAGATCGTCCAGCAAAAAAATATTGCTTTATTGGATCTATTTCCTAAGCACAGACAGCGGACACGAATACCAAACGTCTCCTCTCCTTAGGACAGCCTACTGAGAAGTGTTCCATGCGAGTCCTGGGGCGCTAACTGCGGGCTGCGGTCTGGGCTACGGGCGGGGCAGCAGCCTGGGAGAAGCAGGGTCAGGTCTACGAGGAGCCATGCACCGTCGCCCGTGACAGTTGTGTGCAAATGCTACAGATGTGGCTTTCGGGGCCGTGTCCTTTCTGGGAGTCAGACAGGAATCAGACATAACCACACTGAAGAGCAGTTTTAAAATCATCGTTCCTGTGGGAGAGCGTTCTCTACCGTGACGCTATGTTTCGTTATTGTAACTTACGACCTCCGCCGGCGGGTGCAATTCAGGCATGTTCCATGAGGGGGCATGAATTCCTAAGGCACAATTATTAGGTTAGCCAATTAGACCATGCTTTTTGGTTACGTGGAACAACAGGTCACTGCTAGTAACAACGTGTAATAAGCTGTTAATTGCACAAACGCAGTAGTAAAGCTTACACCAACCTATCCGTTAACAGTAACTAGTTGGAAAACATACTACAGTCGCTGCATGTTAAAACGTTTTTGGTAATCGTTGTCTTAGATGAAGCAGAGATATAAGGCTTCTGTGAAGTAATAATCTTACAGCTGAACAAATATATTACACTCCTCTTGTGATGTTATTTACAGTGACTTTCCCACCTGCCATTTGGTAGCATCCAGGCATTGAGAACACACGCCTCCTGGCTTTCTAAAGTGCTCGGCTGACAGCACGAGACGACGAAGGCCCGCTGGAGGGACGTGGGCCCCGGTGCACGCAGCTGAAAAGCCAGGCTTTGTCTTAGATGCACCTTCTGGAACGGACGCTGGTTACTGCTGCTGACACGGCAGCCCTCGCTGGGCAAAGACCGGACGTCACCGCCTCTGTCGTTATTATTTGTACTTAAATATGTGCCAAATCTGTACATACATGCAAACGCAAGAGCTGTCGTGTGGCAGACGGACTTCTCTTTTCGTCCAGCAACCTATCTTGTACTATCATCTTACTCGCGCTACGCTCAAAGCCAGATTAAAAACAAAACCCTAGCATGCTACAATTAACGATCCTATGGTTCCAGTAACACGGGGGAGGGGGCAGGTGACGAGAGCGAGGACAAAGCAGAAGATCTCTACGATGCACCGAATGAGGCAACAGATTGCACGCTGCAGCCCGAGGAAAGCCGAGAAAAAAAGCAGGAAGCACGTGTGAGGTATTTCTCACAATGCCTACCTAGCTTGCCAGTATTCTCCTAATTTATACAAGAGAAAGCCTCAGGATGAAGTGTCTTTATAGCTTCTGCTCCTACAAATACTCTCCTGGTAGCAGACTCAGGGCTCCCCCGTGGCGCCCCGATGCTGGGGTCTGTGTAATAAGGCACTTCCAGCGCTGGAGTCCCCCCGTGGGAGGCGTGCCCCTTTCGGTCTTGACATGGGAGGAGTGGCCCGTCCCACCAGCCGCTGGGCAGCTTCTGTGAGCGGACAATGCAAATCTTCATGAAGCCGGGGGTCTGACCGGCACCAGGGCTCTGCTCAGTTTATTTGAAGTCCTGGTGCCGAAGCTCAACGGTCAGCGGCCGAGTCGACACCACGCGGCTTCGGAGCGAGTTCCGTGTCGCCAGCTACGATCAGATGTTGGTGCTGGAGAGATCGTTCCGGATGATCTCATTTACTGCAAGAAAACACAACGGAGAAATCATTAGGGAAACGCTGCTCTGCCCAGAAGCGTATGTAAGAACCAGAAATCCCATCAGCCATGCTTCTGGCCAGTCATGTGGAGCCCGTGACGGGGGGATCTCTGGGCGGGATGGAATTCCTTCCTGCACCCCACCGCGGGCCTGGGGTGCCCTGAGCCAGCAGCACGCAGCTGCCCGGGACCCGGCTCCACGACTCCAGGGGCCGGCGGTGGTCGGGTTACCGCTCTAGTCCAGAAGCACGGTTGCGAACCGGCCCCGCGACGGTGGGCTCCGGGAGAGGCGCCAGGCGCCGGTCCGGGTGCCGTGAGCGCGTCTTCTCCGGGCAGGAGCGCACAGCTGGCGTCTCCACGGGAAGAGGTGGAGGCACCCCCGCGAAGTCCATGCTCAGAGAACCCCCCCTCCTTGCTCTCGTCGTCGGACAGGCCACGTCCGAGAGGAGGGCCGACCACGGGGCGGCCTGGGCCTCCCTTTGTTTGTGGCTCTTCCTCCATTTCTGTTCCCTCGTCCGTGTCCACTATCGGCGTGTGGTTTTTGGCAGCAGGAGAGGAAGTGAGCGAAGCTGGCAAAGGCCATCGTGAGCGAGCTGCACAACATCCCTCTCTCCACCCCGTGACCGGCCCCCAGGCAGGGGACGCGTCCCCACGGCCCACTTTGCCAAGAGAACGGGGGGGTGGGGAGCACACGCTCACGTCACGGAACTGCCCGGGCTTCCCTTTGCCGCCCAGATAAATTCCGCGTGTTTCTGCAAAGGCCCCAGCGCGTCCGAGGGCGGCTTCCTGCAGCCGGCAGCTGGCACACCTGTCATCACCCCCACCCCTCCGCTAAATGCCCTTTCGACACCCCTACTATTGTTAAGAACAACAATAATAAAACGGGGTTGGGAGAACCAGGAACTGTGTCATATGGGTGCTGATAACAGCCCGGCTTCACAGGCGGGAGCCTGCCCGCGAAGCCCCAGGCCACCAGCTCTTCCCGAAGGTGCAGCCCGGGCTCAGACCCAGGGCCATGGCGTCCCACACTGTGCCCAGGCCCACCCGCGGCCTGCAAGGGGGCCGCCTATGGGGTGGGGGGGGGGGGGGAATGAGTCACTTAATGCAAACACCAGAAGCACAGCAGGCCAGAGTGGGCGCCAGGCCAGCATGCCTGCAGAGGACACATCTGCCGGGGACACGGACGTGATGCACGAGCCACACCTTCTCTGAAGATGGCACTGACCTTCAGGCACAAAACACCGGAGGGGCCGTGGCTCACGCCGGGCGAGTGACTCTTCCCAGCTGCTAATGAGGCCCGGCTGCTCAGGCCAGCTCTCAGGACAACACCCGTCCCTGGAGCGTCCCAGGGGTCAGCCACACGCAGTTTCTCTGCGACACTCTGGCCGCCCAGCTTTGCGAGGCCCGCTAGAGAGCACTGAGAAGCGCGCGGCCGAGGCACCTGGGAAGGCAGGGCGAGGTGCTCCCCGCTTCCACCGCCCGGACCACACGGCCTCCCCCGTCACTCGACCCCGAGACTGCCCTGCGCTCCCGAGGTCCCAGGTGCCACCGGCCCCTGGAGCACGGGCACAAGGGCCTGGGCCACCAGCGACAGCTCCCCTCTGCCTCCCGCTTCACTTGCTGGGCCTTCTGTTTCGAGAGGCGCGCGTCCAGCTGGTATTTTGCAGAAGAGCGTGACACAGAAGAACATTCGCACAGAGAAGGATGACGAGCGCGAGCTTCCTCGGGGCCCTGCCTTGGCGCGGAGAAGGTCCTCCTGCCACTCGCGTGTCTCCGGACCACGCGGGGCAGGCGGGACATCCTCAGGACGGCACGAAGCCGCGTGCGGAAAGCCCAGCCCCGCGGTGGCAGCCGGCAGAGGCGGCGACCGCCACCCCCCCACAGAGCACGTCGCCACGGCCGGTGTGGCACCGGGCGGTTTAGAAGTCTAAAAGTCTCACGTCCTCCTACGCTGACCGGGCCCGTGGGCCCAGGAGCCCTTCCTGACCCAATTTCAGATGGAAGTCTGGGGGGCGTCCGTGGCGACGTCTGGGCTCCGGGCCCAGCAGGGGGTGGCACGGTGGGACGGGGGGGGGTCCGGCCCCCACGGGCCTGCCTGGGGTGGGGGCTGCAACACTCAGCCACGACAGCTTGTGCAGACTCGGCCTCCTGGACAGGACGCCCTGAGGGACGGGCCGGACTTGTCAGTTACACACACGGGGGTCTGGGTGTCACTGCTCCTTCTGCTGCCAAGGACAGCGAAGTCTCAGACCGGAGATGCGACCCTAGTGAGATCGCTGACCAGGTGGGGGGGAGGTTCTCGGGGACAATAATGACCGGGAAGTCGGGGTGTTCTGAGGGGTGTAATGACGGAGATGTGAGGGAGCCAGACAAAGAAAACTGACGGAATCTGCAGGGACCTGATGGCTAATAATGAGGGAAAATGTGGGGAAGTCACAGGGGTAATAATGCCAGGGAATGTGGGAAGGTAGAGGGAGTAGTGATGATGGGAAAGTGTGAGGGTCTGAGGGGGAATAATGGTGGGGAACGTGGGGAGGTCTGAGGGGTAATTATATCGGGGAAGTTGGGGAGGTCTGAGAGGGAACAGAGACGGGGCATTTCAGAAGGTCCGAGGGGTAATAATGGCAGGGAAATGTCGGGAGGTCCGAGGGGTAATCATATCTGGGAACGTGGGGACGTCCGACGGGTAGTAAGGACAACCAATAGAAGGGAGGCTTAAGCAAAGCAGCCACGAACCTTCTAGTTCGCCCGGGTTACACAGAGCACAGGAAAAACAACATCTGTGTGACACGACAAAAGGGGAAGCAGCCTCAGAAGCGGGCTTCCCCTTGCTGCCCACCGGGTCACCTGAACCTTGAAGGGGGAGCCCGAGGTGGGTGGGGGTGGGGAAATCACTCAGCGCATCCTGAGCGGCCCAGGGACCCGGCGGAGCGCGTCACGGCCCTCTGTCCTGGCACCTGCCCCCACCCAGGCTGGCAGGAGGGTCTCAGGAGGGCTGGGAGGGCCGTGCTCCTGGTCCGTCACTGGCGTCCGCGGGCTCCTGAGAAGTCACCGGCCCCGCCTGCCTCCCAGCAACGGCCGGCCGGAAGCGAGCGGTCATCCGATGCCCCCGTCCTCCAGGCCCGGCACCGTCGAGCAGCGTCACAGCGCGGCAGGCACCTCAGCACCGCGCTCAGGACCCACGCGCACGCGCCAACGCCCTTCGGACCTGCCCTGAGGTCCCCTGGGGAGCGCACGGGGCAGCCGCAGCTGACAGAAGGGGCAGGTGGACCAGGTCCCCCGCACGGCTCGGCTGCACAACTGAGGGCGGGACGACGGCACAGCCACACTGTTTCACAATCTGTGCCTTGGCCTTGCGGGGAAAGCCACGCTGGCTCCCGCTCCCAGACAGACCTCAGGCAGGGCCCGAGCGCTCCGAGGGCCGGGTTGAGGACGAGAACGCGGGGTCCCGTCGCCCCTGGCCTCACCCCGGCCACGGCCTCCCACTTGTCTTCCGTGAGGTCACGGTTCCGAGGCCCCGTGAGTCCACAGCCGCCCCCGGGGGCTTGTGCTGGTGACTTTGGGGGCGGTTTTCTCTCTGTTACGGTTTCCTACAGTGTCTCCTCTCTGCTGATAGTTTCCATCTTCTTATTCAGCTTTTCCACCGACACGAAGGGTTTTTTCTCTGTACAAGTATTTTGAACTGCAGGTAACATGTGACCCTCACAGCTTGTCAGACACCTAAAAGAGGAACCTTTGCTGTGCTTGGTGTCAGATGTCCCTGCAGCAGGATGTGGTGAGCTGTTATACCACAATTTAATTTAATGAGAAAGGTTTTTTCCCTAGTATTTAAGTTTTCTCTCAAGCGCTCCCAAGGTGGAAACTACTGTTTTTTTTCCTGAAACTTCTGTGGCAGTTTGAATTCTTGTTTTACTCTGGGATACGTGTGCAGGATACACACACGCACCCGAGCCACCTCGACGTGCAGGTCTGAGACGGAGTGAAAAGAAAATTCGTGTTTTTCTAACATTTAAAGTCTAAAATGTACAAAGCACAGGCACGCGCTCTCACCTCCGCTCACGTTATCTGTCCACAGTCACTGGAACCTTCCAGCAATACACACAGATCTCGCGGCGATTTACAAATAAGCTCGCAAAGTAATCAGTGAAGGGTCTTTTCAAAGGTAAAATTTTTGTATTTTCATCTAACGAGTTTCCTTTTCAACACCATTTTGAAAAAAAAGGACTTTACAGCCTCGTGCTGTAGTGAAATGGCCTCAGTTTACCCCTGGTGCGCTTCTGTCGGGCTCTCCTGAGACAACGTGACCGAAGGGGGCGGCGAGGGTCCGAACCTCACTGAACATGTTTTCCTCGACGCCTCGCTTGTAAGCCCAGTTTCCCCCCTTTTCGGAATTCCTGGTTTTCGAAAGCGGCCAAGGATCTCAATCAGAATGTCAGGAACCAGCACGGGGCAGGTCGGCCCCGCACGTAGGCGGCCCACCCCCGCTCCCCACACACACGCACGCGCACCGTTGCCGTCCCCTGCGACAGTCCCAGGAGGGAGGGGAGGCAGACGCCACAGTCGCAGGTTTGGAAGCAGAGAGTGGGAGGGAGGCTCGGCAGGTGGCCACGGCGGCCCTCGGGCTCGCGGGTGAGGAGCTCCGCCAGCCCAGGGTCTGTGCCCGCGCCTGCCAGGCCCCCTCCTCCCAGCCTGGCCTCCACTCTGCCCCTGCCCCTGGTCCCCTCCGTGCCCGCAGGGCTGCTCGGGGCTCAGAACCCGGCGTGAAGGGTGGGGAAGGGCCGAAGGCAGGGCCGCGTTCCCCTCTTCCGTGGCTTCTCTTAAAACACCACCCCCCACTGGCGCCATGCACACAGACGTGGCATTCTGTTCCGTTTGTGCTAAAAACACCTACTTTTTTTCATTCGTTTCTCCTGTACGAGCTGTTCCGTGCCTTGAAAAAAAAAAAAAAAAAAAAAATTTTTTTTCAAGGAGGAGAAGAAGCAAGC